CTCATCCCAGGAACCATCAACCCATACATCTTTAATTGTGATCTGAGAATGCCCTGAATCTCTACTAGCACATAAAGGCCCACTCGCCAACCACCGATCAAACCAAAAAGAAGAGCTGCCCTCTCTCACCTTTACAATCACATTTTCGGCCATATCAAGAAGCACATTCATAATAGACTTCCAGAAACGGGAAGCATTTCTTCTAGTCTCAGCAAAGAAAATGTGGTCGTGTTTCACATATTTCGCACGGAAAAACTTGGTCCAAAGATTATCACCAGTTACCAATCTCCAAGCAAATTTCATCTGTAGTGACCTCTGTACTTCATGGAAATTTCAGATGCCAAGTCCCCCTTCCTTGTACGGTTTGCATATCCTATCCCAAGCACACCATTTCATTCTTGGTTTCCCATTCAAATCACCCCAAAAAAATGTCGACAGCAAAGAGTTTAGTCGACTGAAAACCTTCATTGGCACATTTAAAACTGCCAAGAGATGTGTTGACGTACATGCTAAAACATGTTTCATGAGTGTAAGCCTACCACCTTGAGAAAGAATCTTTAATTTCCAACCAGCAACTTTCCTCCTAATCTTCTCTATGAGTGGTTCCAAATGTCTAGATGTGAGACAACCAGAAACCAAAGGGACACCCAAATAGGTGACTGGAAACTTGCCTTTCACAAAACCTGTCGATCTCATGATATTACGTCGTCGAGCAGGTGTCCTGACCACTTTTCATAAACCTCCAAAGTACTTAGAAGACGTTGAACAAAACGTTTACCACCGTTCACAAAAACTAAAAGATCATCAACATAAAGTAAGTGCGATACCAAAGGCACACCCACTGGATGTGAAAAACAGCCAATACGACCCTCTTCAAAATTCTTGCAAAGCAATCTAGACAGTACCTCCTCCATAATAATAAATAAATATGGAGAAAGTGGATCACCTTGTCTTAGACCCCGAGCTGGTTGAAAGAAACCCTTGGAAGTCCTATTCATTATAATAAAGAACCAAGGGGACGTGACACATTCCCTAACAAGATTACAAACCTGAGAAGAAAAACTAAAGGATGTTAACACATTTAACAAAAAATGCCAGTCTACACGATCATAGGCTTTGGCCATATCAATCTTCACCATAATGTTTCCACCCTTAGTTTTCTTATTCAGAGAATGAACCAATTCCTGTGCCAGAGTAATATTTTCAAAAATGCTGCGATCGGGAATAAAAACGCCTTGTTCATGAGAAATCAACTGTGATAAAAAAAGGGTCATCCTTTGCACTAGAACCTTTGAGAAAATCTTGTAAGCAACAGAACAAAGGCTAATCGGGCGAAACTTGTCAAAACTCTTGGGCTCCTCCACCTTTGGAATCAACACCAAATAAGATGCTGTATAAAATCTAGGTAAAGTAGTACCCAAAAAGAAATCCTTGGCAGCATCGATAACATCCTCTTTGATCAGATCCCAACAGCTTAGATAGAAACCCGAACCAAAATCGTCCAGTCCAGGTGAGCTCTCTCTCGGAATAGATTTCAAAGCAGCCAAAATCTCTTTCTCGGTCGGGGCTAAAGCAAGAGCCACATTATTTTCCTCAGATATAGAATTTTGAATAAGGGAAGTAAGATCCACCTGTTCAACAATAGGAGGATTTGAAAGATAGTCTTGAAAATAATTTAAGGCTCCTTGATGAACCTGTTCCGACGAATTCAAAATCATACCATTCTCTAGCCTTGTGTTAGAAATGACTTTAGATTTTCTCCGTTGGTTAACAACAACATGAAAGAATTTAGTATTTTGATCACCTTCTGAAAGCCATTTCTTTTTCCCCAATTGAGAAAGCTGAAGTTCTTCACGTTATTCCCAAGTATCCAGTTCAAGTTTTGTAACCAAGAAATCACATTCAACTTCTTTATCATAGCCACCTTGTAAGTGGCTCTCTAAAACCTCCAATCTCTCTTCCAATTCTTTAATAGTCTGCCCAACATGCCCAAAAACCTGTTTATTCCAAGCTCGTAACGCAAGCTTCGTTTTCTTCAATTTTTCCGCTAACTGAAAAAGACCCACAGAAGTAGTAGGTTCCTTCCAAACTTCTTCAACACATCTCATAAAATCTGCATGGGAAACCCACATATTTTGAAAATGAAAAGTATGAGGGCCGAAGCTTACCTGTTGTTTTTGGAAATGAATGAGCATAGGACAATGATCCGAAGTCTTCCGATTAAGGTACTCGAAGAAAGCTGAAGGAAATCTATTGGCAAAATGGATATTAATCAGCGCTCTATCAAGACGTGCCCAGTTACGAGTATGCCCCTCATGGCCATTACACCACGATAGTCGCCGTCCCATAACTAAAAGATCCAATAAACCACAATGATCAATACAATTATTAAAATCTTCCATCGACGTAATAGGCCTTGGGTGACCACCAACTCTTTCACTATCTTCCCGAATAATATTGAAGTCCCTTAACACAAGCCATGGAGATTCATTAGAATCTACCAACTCCAAGCTTTGCCATAAATCTCTACGTTCTATACTATTGCGCTTAGCATAGATAAAAGAAATGTAAAGCTTCTCTTCACCAAACCGAAAAATCCCTAAAATTAATTGGTTAGTCATAGATGACACCTCCTAATCACAATCATCACTCTAGAAAATCCAAATTTTACCATCAAAAGCCGCATTACTACAAAAATTCAATAACCCCATCAAATAGGCCAGACGAGTCATCTTATCATCCTCAGCAAAAGGTTCCATAATCCCAACAATAGACACACCAAACTTCTTTACTCAACTTTTTAACTGATTACGGGAACTACCTAACCCTCGCAAATCCCAAACCAAAATTTTATCAATTATAAATTGAGTTTAGAAGGTCAGGATAAAACCTGTTGGGATTGTCTCACTGTGTGTTTCTTTGAGTCCATCTTGCGACTAGGTTGGCTAGCCAATGAGCTCGGAACATCTTCATCCTCCGAATCTAAAAGTGACACATGTTGGTCCTCCCTCACGGCAACATCATTTATAGAATCTCGTTGAGTCCTATATTCCAACTCTAGAAGTTCGGAGATTAGATCTGTGTGGCCCCCTTTGTACGAACCTCAGTTCAGAACATCTTCCTTAACCAGCAAACCCACCGTAGGACTACCAACATCAAACTGCACTTCACTACGCTCGCCTTCTTTTCCCTGCATAGAAACTGAATCTTTTCTGGTCACTAGTTCAACAGCAACCTCATCCACAGATTGTTCCTCTGTGGCAGAGTTTGTTTGTGCAATAACAAGTGCCATATACTCTGGATGCTGTATCATTGGCATGTCTTTACCATGATTCTTCACAATCCCATCCGCAACCAGTACCAACGTATGTTCAATCACTGGTAATTCGTCCTGCACTAGTTTGTCTAGTTGCACTAGATTTTCTGCATTAACACCGTCCACAACATGCTCTATCTCCCCCTCATTCTCACTAGTTTTTTCTTTCTCACCTTCTTTTTCTTTCCATACTTGCTGGTTCTTGATCAAAGTTTGATTAGTTGTTTCCCCTCCTGCCTTCCACCTAGTCTCCCCTATCCGACAAACTACATTCGTATGCCCTTGTCTACAGCACTTAGTGCAATAAAAACCAGGTTTTTCATACCTGACTTCTTGCCATATACTTCTATTTGCTGAAACGACAATAGGAAACCCTTTGATAGGTTCCTCATTAAGATTCACTTCTATGCACAATCGTGCACCCGTAGCCCTCGTTTTATTCAATGTAGCATTGTCAGTGCCAAGGAAACGGCCAAACCGAGTTGCTAGAATTTGAAGACAATCCCTTCTACACCAGTGCATAGGCAATCCTGGTAAGAAAATCTACTGAGGAGCCAAAGGAGACTCCTTCTTAAGATTAAAATATCTGGTCCATTTGAATAGCCGAAAGGAATTCCCCTCCATAGATCTTCCTTCACGTGTCCAACCATGAACAAAGTCACGTTCATTTTTCATGCGTATCAAAATATGATAGTCATCCATGAAACTGATTTGTAGAATCTCTAACAGACCCCAGTTTTTCACCACATGCAGACGTAACTTGTCTATGGAAGGCCTAACTCTCATGAATTTCATCACCAAGGCAAACTTCAAATCTTCCGCAACCTTCACCATCTCTGGTTCCAAGAATACAAAGCCCAACTCCCCATCAATATCTACCGAAAAACGCATTGGTAACTTGAACGATGCATTCTCTGCCTGTTTAGAAACCGCCTGGGCATAAGACGTATTCAAAGAATCACTAAGTACGACGTTCCCTGTTGACGGCAAGGCCATCAGAGGGGCCATGCACGCCGTGAAGAGGCAACCTTAGGAGCGTAAGAACCCAGAATAGGAAATCCGAGATCCTCGGACTTTCCAAAACAGAGAAATAAAATCAACTACCAAATGGGTCTCATTGGGCAACCTCAGTTAAGGTGTGCATTCCTTCACAATTTATCAGTTTGCAATAGGATTTACCTGATAAATTATAACGTATTGAGTTGGCTTACCATGTAAACTTTTACTTTATCTAATACAGTATGTAATTGAATTAAGCCTACAATTGAGTGTTATTGTCATTTGTCAATGTATAAAAATATTTTAAAATTTTATTTAGTTTTGAAATTGGCCTCCAACTTTATCTTATCACTTATGGTATTATCTTATAATTAAGAAAATAAAGACATGTTTAAAGAAATATTGATGTCATATCTTATAATTAAGAAAATAAACACATGTTTAAGGAAATGTTGATGTCAAACTCTCACATTGATTACGAAACAACAGATTTGGTCACTTATACAGCATAAAGACACCCTTACAACCTAGAGACACTTTTTTATATAAATTATATATTAATACAATTAATATATAAATAACGTGATATACTTTTACCATAACATTGATACACAGATAAATTGATATATTTATTAAACAAACACTGAGGTTTGCAAGTATATACATCGTTTTATGCTAAACGTTAAAGATAAGAGTCCCAATATACGAAGCCCCTCGGCTCAACCCGGACTCGACAGTCGACACATGTCGAGATAATTGCTAATTTGCTACAGGTGCCGCGACGTAAACAACGCAATCACTTTACTGAGTCAGTTTGTCACTGAGCTATTAACTATACTATTTCTTTTCCCTGTGTATATAAATACTCTTAATGGCAGCCATTGTTTTATCATTAGCCACTTCTTTATCTTCTTCTTCTTCTTCTTCTCTTAAAGCTCTTCGTTCTTCTTCTTCCTTGTTTTTCTCGAAACTAGGACCAGTTAGATCAGTTGCTGTTCGTGGTTTTGGTTTTAGAGTCGTCTCTTTTGGAGTTGCATCTCAAGGACGAGGATCCATTTGTTTTTACTCTTCTGGTAGACGAGAAGGCAAGTTCATGGCTCACTCCATTTCTCGTGCCACTCTTGGCCTCACTCAGCCCGCTCAAATCGAGCCCCCTAAGGTACCCTCTTTGTCTCTATTTTGTTTTTGGGTTTGTTGGTTTTGTTCATAAATCTTTTGTGGGTTCAAAGGGAGAATCTTGATCGCGAAGTTTGTTAAAGGAAGGAAATTTATGTTGTTTGGTCACACTGAATAATGTTGATCTGATGATAATGGTGGAGGTTTAGATTGATTATTAGGTTAAAATCATTGAAATTTATGCTTTTGTTTGTTAGGTTTTAAGGTTTTTTAACTTGTCACTTGATTTATTGCAGTATATTGTATCTATTGATTATCATGTTTTTTGGTTATGTTTTAATTGTTTTGGATTTGAATGGATATTATCGGTGATGATTTGATTTGTATGTTGATGTGATTTGGAACTGTTTTTTGGTAATGTTTTGAAGATCTCTTTTACTGCAAAAGAGATTGATGTGGTGGAATGGAAAGGGGACATTCTTGCAGTGGGTGTCACAGAGAAGGACATGGCGAAGGACGATAATTCGAAGTTCAAAAACCCGATTTTGCAGAAGCTAGATTCCCGAGTAGGTGGTCTTTTATCTGAAGCTCTTCTGAGGAGGAATTCACTGGAAAAGCTGGCCAGTCAATAGTTTTAAGACTTCCAGGCCTCGGCTCCAAAAGGGTAGGCTTGATTGGGCTCGGCCAGTCAGCTTTAACTGCGATCAATTTCAAAAGTCTTGGTGAGTCTGTTGCAGCCGCTGCAAAGGCTTCTCAAGCCAGCAATGTGGCTGTTGTTCTTGCCACTTCTGAGGGTATCTCGAATGAGTCAAAGCTCATGGCTGCAACAGACTCACCACGGCTTTTGAAATCGATCGCAGTTGAAGCTGACTGGCCGAGCGTCTCTCGAATGAGTCAAAGCTCACGGCTGCTACAGCATTAGCATCTGGTACTTTTTGTATGGATTTGTGGCATGCTGTCATTCTTGCCTCTTCTGAGGGTCTCTCGAATGAGTCAAAGCTTACGGCTGCGACAGCATTATCATCTGGTACTTTTTTTATGAATTTGTGGCATTATAATTGATATGGGATGTATATTTCTTCAAAACATAGTGTGATATTCAGTTTTTGTTGAATATTTGAAATTATGATAGGAATTGTACTGGGGACACATGAGGATGCTCGGTATAAGTCTGAGTCGAAAATATCTGTGCTTAAGTCTGTGGACATTATCGGTCTTGGAGCTGGACCTGAACTAGCAAAGAAGCTCAAGTATGCTGAAGATGTTTCTGTTGCTGTTATTCTCAGAAGAGAGCTTGTGAATTCCCTGGCCAATGTACTTACCCCTGGTTTGTAGAAGCTCTGTCCTTGCATATTTATAATTCCATATTCTGCCTTGCAGTTGATATTTTATGAATTTATGTTATGCTTGTAATGGTTCAATCTAAAAGATGGCAATCTATATTGTCAACAAGAGTTGGCATTTTGATGGCNCACGCAACTCGCGATTGCTATGTGAAAGCAGTGCAGATGGCGTGCAAAGGGAAAGGCATCACCCGCGGCATTCCCAAACAGGCAATGGCGATCAGTCGGATCGAACCACAGCCTGGCCCAACCGAGGATAACGTGGATCCTAGTATCTAGGAATACCCTTCTAGTGGGCCAGTTGAAGATTTATCTGAAGTGTCAGTCGACTAGAGCGAGCCGAGCAGAGTGTTGAGGATTGGAAGCAATCTCAACCCCCAGCTCGCCAGCGACCTAACCAGCTTCCTCAGAGAAAACATCAATGTGTTCGCATGGATGCATGCTGATATAGTCGGGATCAGCCTGGATATCATTTGCTATGCCTTGAACATTGATAGTGAGGCCAAGCCGGTCTGTCAGAAGAGAAGAGCGATGGACCCAGAATGATATGCTACCTTAAAAACCGAGGTAGATAATCTCCTCCAGAATGGGTCCATCCGGGAAGCGCTCTATCCGAGTTGGGTTGCTAACCCAATTCTAGTAAAAAAGCCTAACGACAAGTGGCGAACCTGTGTTGACTTCACCAACCTCAACAAAGCATGCCCAAAGGACAGTATTCCCCTGCCAAGAATCGATCAACTCACGGATGCCACCTTCGGGCATGAGCTGCTGAGTTTTATGGATGCATACTCTGGATACAATCAAATTTTGATGTATGCACAGGGCGGAGAGCATACCTCTTTTGTCACAGATCGGGGACTGTATTGCTACAAAGTTATGCCCTTCGGCCTAAAGAATACTGGCGCAACTTACCAGCGGCTGATTAATTAGATGTTTTCCAAGCATATCGGGAAATCGATGGAGGTCTACGTAGATGACATGCTGGTCAAGTCGCATGTCGCTTTAGATCACATAACGCATCTTGCTGAGATGTTCGACATCCTCTGGAAGTACAGAATGAAGCTAAACCCTCTTAGGTGCTCATTTAGAGTGTCCTCGGGAAAATTCTTGGGATACATAGTTAACCAGAGGGGAATAGAGATCAACCCCGAGAAAATATAAGCTCTCCTCGAGATGAAGAGCCCGACCAGCAAAAAGCAGGTTCAAAACCTCAACGGGCGAATAGCGACATTAAGTCGCTTTATATCGAGGGCAACAGATCGCTGCTTGCCNGTAGATGACATGCTGGTCAAGTCGCATGTCGCTTTAGATCACATAACGCATCTTGCTGAGATGTTCGACATCCTCTGGAAGTACAGAATGAAGCTAAACCCTCTTAGGTGCTCATTTAGAGTGTCCTTGGGAAAATTCTTGGGATACATGGTTAACCAGAGGGGAATAGAGATCAACCCCGAGAAAATATAAGCTCTCCTCGAGATGAAGAGCCCGACCAGCAAAAAGCAGGTTCAAAGCCTCAACGGGCGAATAGCGACATTAAGTCGCTTTATATCGAGGGCAACAGATCGCTGCTTGCCATTCTTCAATGTGCTCAGGGCCAATAAGAAGTTCGAATGGACTCTCGAGTGAGAACAAGCATTCCAAAGCGTTAAAGAGCACCTTGGGAAGCCACATTTTCTGTCCAAGCCTCCTCCAGTACTTGTCCGTCTCCTAGTATGCGATTAGTGCAGCATTAATCCGAGAAGAAAGCAAGGCTCAATGGCCAGTATATTATGCGAGCAAGCGTCTGTTAGATGCCAAAATGCAGTATTCGAAAGCCGGAGGCATCGGGTAAATTGCTTAAATGGGTCATGGAACTAAGTCAGTTTGATCTGCATTACAGACCGATAGCAACCATCAAAGGGCAAGCTATTGCCGATTTCATCTCAGAGTTCTCATATCATCCAGCAAAGGAACTCGAGCAACAAGCCAGCGAAGTCAATCAGGAAACTATTCAAAATCTGTCGACCTGGAGTCTTTACGTCGATGGATCGTACAACAGAAAGAGAGTCAGGGCAGGTCTTCTTCTCTTAAGTCCCGAGGGGACTCGTATTCATGGCATCCTTCGGTTTGGGTTAAAAGTGACCAACAATTAGGCTGAGTATGAAGCCCTACTCGCTGGATTACGATTGGCCAGAGAAATAGGCGCAACCGCGATCAGCATCCATAGCGACTCCATGCTGGTTGTTAACCAGATTTTGGGGGAGAACTAAGCCAAGGAAGAAAATATGATCAGCTATCTGAAGAAATCTAAGGCCGCACTCGAGTTGTTCAAGCACTTTACGATCACACAAATTCCTAGAGATAGCAATTCTATGGCAGATGCCTTGGCAAAAATAGCCTCGTCACTGGATTCAGATACACCGGAAAGCATTCATGTTCGGTTCATCGAGACCCCTAGTGTTAACTCGATCGAACAGGCCATGAATGTGGTAGAATAAGTTTCTTGGATGACCCCTATCATTCAGTATCTTAGAGATGGGACCTTGCCCAACGAGAAGGTAAATGCAAGGGTCCTGCGAATGAGAGCTGCTCATTACACACTTATTGGAGACCAACTGTACAAACGAGGGTTTAGAGCCCTTCTCTTCCGATGTGTAACTAATGAAGAAGCAGACTACGTCATGAGAGAGATACATGAAGAGATATGTGGTAACCACACTGCAGCAAAATCTCTCGCCAACAAAGTTGTTCGTCAAGGGTATTACTGGCCCCTAATCCAAAAAGACGCCTACAACTTTGTCAAAAGGTGTGACAAGTGCCAGCGGTTCGCAAATATATCGCGAGCTCCTTTCCACCAGCTGATAACCATGACCAGCCCCTGGTCATTCTCCATGTGGGGAATCGACCTCATCGGTCCCATGCCAGTTGGTAAGGGAGGAGTGAAGTATGCGGTGGTCGCGGTAGATTACTTCACCAAGTTGGTCGAAGCAAAGCCATTAGCTGCGATCACCACCAAAAAGCTCAAGAACTTCGTGTGTAAGAACATTGTGTGCCGCTACGGGATTCCTCATAGCCTTATCTCAGATAATGGTAAGCAGTTCGACAACGAAGAATTCAAGCAGTCCTGCGATGAGCTAGGTATTCATAAAAAATTTGCCTCAGTCGCAAGACCGCAAGCAAATGGTCAAGTTAAAGCCATCAACAAAATCATCAAGCACACTCTGAAGGCCAAACTTGGCGCAGCTAAGGGAAATTGGGCTAACTACCTCCTTGAAGTCTTGTGGGCATACATGACAACTCCTAGAACCTCTTCCTCAGAAACTCCCTTTTCGCTAGCCTATGACTGCGAAGCAATGATTCCTGTGGAGGTAGGAAACCGGTTACATTGGAGGGACCGTTCAACGAAGCCGACAATGAAGCGCTTATGCGCACAAGTCTGGATCTAGTTAAAGAAAGCAGCAAGGCTCAGCTAAGAATACAGCCTATCAACAATGTGCGAAGAGGTTTTTCGACTCTAAGGTTAGAAGAAGAGACTTTGAGGTCGGCGACCTCATTCTAAAAGAAGTTCTTCTCGGTACTCGAGAACCAAGTGCGGGAGTTTGGTCCGAACTGGAAGGCCCATACCGCATCGCCAAAGTGATAAGACGGGACTTATCACCTTAAAAGGCTGAATGGTTCCGAAGTACTGCAGCTTGGAATGCTGAACATCTCCGACCATATTATCAGTAATTCCAAACTCAGTTTTTCCTTGTAAAGATTTTATTTTTCGCAATCTTTGTAAATAACAAGTGTAATTATGTTCTTTTTGTAACCTTTTTGCATATATAATTCTATTCGCATAGACTTATTACAATTAATTGTAAACGTTTACATGCGATCTCATATGTAATGAAGGGTACGAAAGTTATAAGTACTCATAAGGATTAACGAAAGTAATGTCTTTATTTATTTGTAATAAAAAGGAGTGCATAAGCGACAAGAAAAAGACTACAAAAGCGGAAACTGATCCTCATCCCAGGCCCCGGAGGGGCGACAGTCAACATCCCTAGGCTGGTCCGACCTCTTGTTCGGGTGCAGTCTCCTCGGGGCGTACTCTAGATGCTCTTCTTCCAGGCCAGGTCCCGAGCCGTTTCCTCAGCCTTGGTCCGCGCCAGGGAAGCAAGCTCATCCTGGTACTCGTCAGGGAGATCGGACAGATCCATCTCAGGGTTCTTCGACTGAAGGGCAAAGATAGAATGAATTGTCCACTCCGCAGCCCTCCTCTCAATCTCACTTCCGCTACTGAATTCCAGTTAGCGAAGTGACGGACCTCGAGTGAAGTGGAGCTCGGCCTTAAGTACTGATCGCTGTCTCAGTAGCCTCCCACAGCTCGACCCTTTACCGCTCAACTTGTAAGGCCGCTCGAAGGTTGTTTGCAGCGCTTGGTCTTTCTGGCCAGCCTCCCTAGAGCGTCGGCCATGGTCCGCTGAAGCTTCTTCACCTCCTCGCTGCGTTTGTCCAGCTCGGTCTTCTGAAAGTCCATCGTAACGATGGGCAGCATCCTCTCAGCCAAGTGCTGGCTTGCCTGAGGATGGATGAGTCTCTGTCTACTCGCACGACCTCTAGTTCCTGCTTAAGCTGCGCATTCTCCTCCCTCGGCTCGACCAATCCCTCGGCAGTCCCAAGCTGGACCTTCTATTGGGACATATCAGGGAAAGCAAGGCCTGCATGACGAATAAAGAGTTAGTTTACTTTCCACTAAAAGCAACAAAAGTCCTTGTCGGGGACAGCTCGTTTACCTAGCTCAGGAGCTGGAAGGATGTGGATAGCAGGTCCGGGGTTGGAGGCCAGGAACTGCTCGAACGCCTCTCCGCGAGCCCACATTCCAGCAATGTTAGACTACCGATGCGATGGTAGGGAGTTGGCTATCGAGTTTAGCACGGTATGTCCGTACCTTCAGCAAGTAGAGCTCCCCCATGGACTCTTTGCCTGACCTCCTCCGGGGACTACGCTGCTGGTCTT